AGTGCTGGGGAGAGTGTGGAGAAAAGGGAATCCTTGTGCAGGATTCCCTTGCACAAGATGGGGGATGTAAATTGGTTACAGCTATTATTGGAAAGTGTATGGAGGTTTCTCAAAAAATGAAAAATAGAATAGACATATGACCTAGCAATCACACCTCTGGCTACATATCCAAAGGAAATGAAATCAGTATCCCGAAGAGGTATTTACACTCCTATGAGCATTACTGTATTATTCACAACAGCCAAGATGTGGAAACAACCTAAATGTTGACAAATGAATGGATAAAGAAAAGGTGGTAGATATATATCATATTATTCAGCCATAAAAGTGAATGAAATCCTGCCACTTATGACAACAGGGATGAACCTGGAGAACATTATGCTAAGTAAAATAAGCCAGACAATTACAAACACTACATGATCTAGCTTATATGTGGAACCTAAAAAAGACAAACTGATATAACCAGAGTAAAATGGTGGTTACCAGGGTGTGGGATGTAGAGAACATGAGGAGTTGTTGGTCAAAATGTTCACACTTTCACTTGTAAAATGAATGAGTTCTGGGGATCCAATGTACAACATGGTGACTGTAGTTCATAATACTGTATTATACACTCAAAATTTGTTGAGAGAGGAAATCCTAAGTGTTCTTACCACACAGACACAAAAAATGGTAATCGTGAGGTGATGAATGTGTTAACTTGATTATCATAATTATTCCATACTGTGTATGTATTTCAAGTGATCATGTTGTAAACCTTAAATACACAATTTGCATCGATTAATTATACTTTAATATAAGTATAACTACATACAAGGATGAGAACCATGATAACGTTTCACTCAGATCTTTTTTTTTTATAGACAACTTTATTATTGTATTTATTTATTTATTTAAATTTTTTGTTTATTGCAGTAACATTGGTTTATAACATTGTAAAAATTTCAGGTGTACATCATTGTATCACTCAGATCTTGGATGGATATATTTGACTGACTCATAGCTATGGAACTTTGGACATATGGGCACCTTTATGACTAGAACAAGGAAATGCTTCCAGACAAGGTCAACCTAACGGCACTCAGAGACATGGAATGGATATCCTGTGAGTCATGCAAAAATACCATTAGCTTTAAAGAAAGTGACTGGTTTGGGACAGACTAGTCTCACCAACCAGGCATTTACCGGGTGAACAATAACAGAATTCAATAGTTATGTGGAACAAACCTTTGGCCTTGGCTTGCACCTAGCTGCCTAGGGCATTAAACCCTGCTTTCTTTGGGATGCAAGGAAGGAGTAACCCCAATTAACAACGGTCACTAATGTCCCTTTCCTCAAAATGAGATGGACACATGTAGTTTTTCATTGGTATGATCACCTAGCTACTATATTTGTCTCTTTTATAGGATTAGAGGATCTCATTAAAGTATAGGCACATCCTATTGAATTTGGCTTTCCTCCATCTTGTCTGCACCATTGTTCAAATATGGCCCTGCATAACAATAAATAAGAGATTACATGTATAACCTCATTCCTATTTCCCTACTCATGCCTTGCAGATCTTCTTCGTTGGTTACCCTCAAGTCTGGGCTCACTCTTAAGATTGGGTTTCCAGGTCCTCATGTTATCATTGGTTTTAGGACTAAGCATCTGATTGTTCTTTAAAATAATTCTGGCTTGCTTCCACACATGCCTCCATGAAAATCCAACCTGCATCATGGTGACTCAACATCTTCTGATCCTAGATGCAACCATCACTGGAACCTCCAGAAACTTCCACTCTGAGCCCTGTATTGACCTATAATCGGTACCTGGATGGACCCCTAACCTGCATGGCCAAGTTACTCAATTGGATAACTAAGGCGCACCAAGCCCATGAGTCCCTCTGTGGGCCTAGATGGAGCTGAGGTAGGCCGAGGCCACCTCTGCACTGAAGCAGAGCAAACACCAAACTGATCATCAATCCTTCCTGTGGCAGGTTCCAAACAAAAGGGGAAAATATACAATTAAAATTATAAAAAAAAACAGGATCCCTATGAGAAAGATAAAACTGACTCTGCGTCGCTAACTGGCACATAAAACAAAACAGTTCAAGCAGACTTGCAAATGGGAAGGTGCAGTCATGTACTCCGTTTTCAGAAAAACCACAACTTTTGCCAGAAACTGGGCATTCCTTCCTGACACACGGCCAGAAGCCTGATATAACTGATTTTAGAACACCAGTATCTATAGGGGAACCAACAAATTAGAGGGCTTTGAAAATAATCCCTGTTGTGTATAAAGTCTGCCTTCCAACAACCCCCCTGAAGCATACTTTCTATTTGTTCTGGAGGCTGGATCTCCCCAGTTTACAAACTGTATCAGCAGCAAAGCTTTCATAACTAAATTCTCTTATTCCAGATGATTTTTGTTGACAATTCTCTTGCACACTTGATGGGCTACAGTACAGTGTAAACATACCTTCTATACACACTGGGAAACCAAAAACTTTGTGTGACTCATTTATTGCGATATTCGCTTTATTGCAGTGATCTGGAAACAAAGCTGCAATGTCTCCTAAGTATGCCGGTATATGAAATTCCTGATTTACATATCAAAAAAATTCCCTGTGTGCATATTCATTCTTAAGAATAAAGTCATGAATAGTAACTTTTGAAATCATTTCCCTGAGTGCTCCAAGCAACAAAAAAGATTATCTGTATCCTTATTTCTGAAATTTATTTTTATTTAATATTTTTCATATGCTAACTATATTTCTATTTTCAGATCATGTAAACGTGCAACCATGCATCTTATTTCGGTACACAAAAAAAGGCATGTAGAAGTAACATCAAATGGTGTATATTTATGGACAGAGAGGCAGGTTTTAGTAGGGGAGAACCTCAAATTGCACTACCATGGTATTTTCTTGACAACCACAGAAATAACTTGAAATAGATCAAGGAGTGAATAACTCACAAGCAAATTATGAATATATATTTCCAATGTTGTTAAGTTGTTTGAATGTAACATGGAAAGAATTTGTTATAGACGCCATTCAACTAGAGAGCCTAATAATGGATCATCAGTGTTTATCAGGAAGCACTCCAATGAGGTGGGATATGCTTGGGTCAATAGAAGGGACATGAGTCATTTAGAGTTACAAAAATAGATTACATTTAGACATGAGAAGTATAATACATGCTAAATAAAGTGGTATGAAAATGCAATTTCAGTGGCCAAATTTGCATCCTTCACAAGCACATTCTACTCTGGTTCTTTTGATTCAACTGTCCTCTATAACTGTCACTTCAGTTTCTTAAAAAAAAGGACAAATTTTCAGTAATCTATGATATACAGCTTCTATTACCTTTGAAAAGAGAGGCACATCATCATTCCCCCTCCATTTTTTCAACTACATATGCCATCCTTACCAACCCAGTATTCGACTCTAGTGAAAATATCATTCTTTAATGTTCCGGTCTACTCCATCTCATGATCATCTTGTAGAACAATCTTTCTGATAATCACCAACAGAAGCCCATAGTCATAGCAACAAATCTCAAGAGGCTGTGACCACAGAAAACACAGTAATTTAGATAACATTTTACATCTATTCTCTGCTACTCCCTATGCTCTCAAATTTATACCATATTGTACTTTAAAATCAGTATACTAGTTTTTCCAGGTTCCATGGGTATGAATAAACCCTCCTAATGATGGAGGTCCTTTCACTTTACTGATCTCTTCCCTGAGACCATCATGGTGAAAAATGAAAAGCATGTAATGAAAGTATAAAATCAATAGGCTTCAAACTTCAGGTTGTTAGTCATCAATAATAACGTAGCCTTTTCAAGAAACCTCAAATAACTGAATAAAAACATTTTATAAACTGAACATAAGATATTTCCACTGATGACCTTGCTTCATTGACACACATCATCTCATGAGCTTTAAATAATTTTTTTTTTTTTTGTGAGGAGGACCAGCCCTGAGCTAACATCCAATGCCAATCCTCCTCTTTTTTGCTGAGGAAGACTGGCCCTGGGCTAACATCCATGCCCATCTTCCTCCACTTTATATGGGACGCTGCCACAGCATGGCTTATCAAGCGGTGCATCGGTGCGCACCCGGGATCTGAACCGGCGAACCCCGGGCCGCCGCAGCGGAACGTGCGCACTTAACCGCTTGCGCCACTGGGCTGGCCCCATAAATAATTTTAACTTTTAATCCTGTCTGTAGTTTAACATCTGAGGTTGATTCATCATCAAACACAGTTTGACACACATCAAACTCGTTCCCTAGAGTATGAATTTAACATGTATTTCATTGAGGAACGGGTTAAACAATGTATCACCTTCAATTCATTTGTCATATTTCTGTCCAGTATGAATTCTTGGGTGTAGACTGAGATCATTGCTTCAAGGCCTCGACACATTTGTATGGCTTCCATTTTATAGGAATTCTTTCATGACCACAAAGTTGTGTATATTTGATAAAGCTGATCACATTCATCACATTTGGATATATACATTCCTATTATATGATTTCTCTCAAAAATGGAGTCTTTGATGTTGAGAAAGGCTTGAACACTTGCATAAGTTTTGTTTCCCTCATATTTGTGAGATTTCTTGCTCCTACGAATTCTCAAAGCTTGAGCATTTAAATACAAGTCCTGCCACATATATTAGGTTTATGATGTTTATTTTTAATATTTTCTGTTGCCTAGGAAGACTGGCAAATTGGGTAAGTCCTGCTGTACTAATAATAATTGTAAGAGTTCTCTCTAGTATGGATTCTCTAATGATGAATTGGGCTTGAAAATTGGGCAAAATATTTTACACCTTAGGTACATTTGTACAGTTTCTCTCCAGTACGGATTTTCTTATGCTGAGTAAGGACTGAATCCTCAGCAAAGGCTTTGCTGCAATCACTATTATTGTGAGGTTTCTCTCCAGTAGGAATTCTCTGATGAATTGTGAAGTTCTGCTTTTGAGTACAAACCTAGCCAGATGCATTACATTTGGAAGGTTTCTCTCCAGTATGGATTTTCTTATGTCTTTTAACGCATGAAAATTGGGTAAAAGATTTGTCACAATCATTACATTTGTAAATTTTCTCTCTAGTATGGATTTTCTTATGCCTACTAAGTACTGAACAATCAGCATTTCTTTGCCACATTCATTACATTTGTAAGGTTTCTCTGCAGTATGAATTCTCTGATGAGTTGCAAGATTTGACCTGTGACTAGAGACCTTGCCACACTCATGACATTTGCAAGGTTTCTCTCCAGTATGAATTCTTTTATGTTGAGTAAGCCTTGAGTTGTTAGCAAAGGCCTTGCTGTATTCATTACATTTGTAAGGATTGTCTCCAGTATGGATTCTTTTATGTTGAGTAAGCTTTGACTGTCGAGCAAAGGCTTTGCTGCATTCATTACAATTGTAAGGCTTCTCTCCAGTATGCATTCTCTGATGAATTGCAAGATATGACTTTTCACCAAAGACCTTGCCACACTCATTACACTTGTAAAGTTTCTCTCCACTATGGATTCTCTTATGCTTAGTAAGTCCTGAACAATCAGCAAAGTCTTTGCCACATTCATAACATTTGTAAGGTTTTTCTCCAGTATGAATTCTCTGATGTCCTTTAAGACCATCATAAAGGGTAAAAGCTTTGCCACACTCATTACATTTGCAAGGATTCTCTCCAGTATGGATTCTCTTATGCTGAGTAAGGGTTGAATGTCTAGCAAAAGCTTTGCTGCATTCATTACATTTGTAAGGTTTCTCTCCAATATGGATTCTCTTATGTTGAGTAAGGTTTGAATGGCTAGCAAAGGCTTTGTTGCATTCATTACATTTGTAAGGTCTCTGTCCAGAATGAATTCTCTCATGTTTTGAGAGGTATGAGCTTTTGCTAAAAGCCTTCCCACATTTATTACATTTGTAAGATTTTTCTCCAGTATGTGTTTGCCCATATTGTGTAAGTAACAAAAGATATTTAAAAACCTCCCTATATTTATTACAAATATTTTTAACACCATTAGGAATTTGTTGAAGTGGTGAAACTGAAGAATCATGGTTGATAGACTTCTCAACTGGATTGCATTCACAAATTTTCTCCTCAGTTTGAAATCTCTGCACTTCCGCCAAGTGTGCCTGCAAACCTGATTGAGTTCTATTTTCGAAACACATTACATACTTGTTTCTAGCATCACTTATGTTATTTTTCAGTTTTAACAAATTTCCTATCAATGGCTCATCATGCATGAAATATTGGTACGTATTATTTCCTACAGAAAGACTGCTTTTCAGGAAAATTATTTGTGGTTTTATTACATTCACCTATTCTATGAGTGAGCTTTCCGTTATGGATTAACGGCACTGCTTTGTGATTTCTGGCATCATATCCCCACACACTTCCAAACTCATGTATATTTTCCAAGACTTCTTTGAGGTCAAAATCCTTGATGCCACAGCTTTCAGTTCTTTCCAATACCAGTAGATGGCAGAATTCTCCTTCATTAATGTCCTCTCTTGGCAATAATTCCTTTATTGCAAATCCAGCAGAAAGGCTTCCTATTGAGTTTCAAGAGAAATGTTTTATATTGAATTAGATAATTCTACAAAACTCAATCCTTATAATGAACAAAGTTATGAAATTTATGAATCACTGTATTTAAACACCATTGTAATATATAGATTTCTACACTTTTATTTTTATACTTTTTACATATTAATATTTGCTCTCACCTTTGATAACAAATTTTCAAAACAAACCATACATGCTATACATATTTTCTGGCCATATAACTGGATAATTAAATGATACTCCATAGTTAGGGAGTTGATCTACACACTGGCTAGTATATAACCATAGGCATAAAATCCTCATGGAGAGTTGAGGTTGTCTTCCATAATTCTTAATCTTTATAATAAGGTGTGTTGATACGAGGCTAGAAAAAGATACTAAAAGAATACACGTGTAAAACTACGATAACAAAACATTTTTTTAACCCATGATAAATCACCAGATAATTTAATAACTAACCACAACTATAGAAAATAATAGTCTCTGAAATTCTAAAGAATTCTTCCTAAGGAACTAAAGAAAGGATTTACATTCAGGAAAGAACAGACAATAGTTAAAAGGAACAATATGTTGAGAATCACTAAATTTGAAATATCAGTTTCAGGTAAACGCACATTATAAAGATCAAAAATTAGGGGTCCAGCCCCATGGCCTAGCGGTTAAGTTTAGTGTGCTCTGCTTCAGCAGCTCAAGTTTTGTTTCTGTGCATGGACCTACGCCACTCATCAACAGCGATGCTGTGGCGGTGTTCCACATACACAATAGAGGAATACTGGCACAGATGTTAGCTCAAGGCCAATCTTCCTCAAGCAAAAAGAGGAAGATTGGCAACAGATGTAAGCACAGGACAAATCTTCCCCAGCAAAAAAAAGAAAAAAGGAAAGGCTAGCCCCGGTGGCCAAGTGGTTAAGCTCAGCGCACTCCCCTTCACTGGACTGGGTTCAGCTCCTGGCCATGGACCTACACCACTTGTCAGTGTCCATGCTGTGGTGGTGGCCCACAGAGAAAATAGAGGAAGATTGGCAACAGATGTTAGCTCAGGATGAATCTTCCCCAAGCAAAAACAAAAAAAAATTATGGAAGACTGTCAGAAATCTCAACTACAATTTCATGTCTACAGTTATATAGTAGCTAGTACACAGATCAACTCTCTTGAAGTACCACTTAACGATCCAGTTAGAGGTTCATAAAAAGTGGATAGTATATAGGATGTGGTTTGAAAATGGTATCTAAGGTGAAAGAAAACAATATAGAAAAAAATTGCAAAAGAAAACCTACAAGATATAATGCACTGCATGTAGCACAGGGAGGCGTGGGTCCTGTGGAAACTAGGGTGCCTAGGTGCTCAAAGTTAATATACAGAAAGGCACAGTGTCATTCATCTGGATCAACAAAAGATCTGAGAAAAGGCCAAGACTGGGATTTAGAAAAGGAGAGGAACTCTTTCAGCAAGAGGCATAATACTCATTCCATAGGAACTATACTATGGGGATAAAGCAAACAAGGAAGAGATTAAAAAGGGAGACTGTGCGGTGTTATGGGAAGAATGCAAATTTACATCTATTCCAATATTTTCTCTAAAAGTAATCAAATTGAATATGCCATAAGTTCCATTTTTAGGCATATACTCAAGAGAGTCATATATATATTCCAGACGACATGTACAAGAACGTTCTTAGGAAGACACAAAAGCAAAAATCTGGAAAAGACCACCAAGGGCAGAATGGATGAATTCACTCTGTACCAACACATATGGCTGCAATAAAACCTTCTCAAAGGTCAAGTAATGAAAGGTGACCATGGATGCTGGATGATGATCTCTGACTAGGGGCACAGAGGTTCTGTGGTGGAAACAAAGTTAGCAGGAGGTTATTGTCAAAGTTTCAACTCATTGGGGATGTGATTATATTTGGTAAAACATAACTCATGAACTCTATTATATAGATTGAAAAATAGAAATTTATCGGGGCCAGCCCAGTGGCATAAGCGGTTAAGTGCACACGCTCTGCTGCGGTGGCCCGGGGTTCACTGGTTCGGATCCCAGGCGCGCACTGACGCACCACTTGTCAAGCCATGCTGGGGCAGCGTCACATATAAAGTGGAGGAAGATGGGCATGGATGTTAGCCCAGGGCCAGTCTTCCTCAGCAAAATCAGGAGGATTGGCAGATGTTAGCTCAGGGCTGATCTTCCTCACAAAACAACAACAACAAAAAAATAGAAATTTATCAGTTTTGACACACTGAGTCTTTTAGTTCAAGTGTCCTTGTTTGTTATATAAAAATAAGAGAGTTGCCTTTCTTTAATATCTTAATTATCTGAAATCATTTCTTTGGACCTTTTAACATTACAGTCCCAAAGATATACGAGATAACATGTGGCAAGTGTTCTTACTATATGTATTAGTAGACATATACTTATTACCCTTATGAATTCATAGAAATACACACTAATCTAAAAGTAATGAATTTTAACTTCACAAACATCATCAGAAAGCAGTATCCTTAAAGGGAATTACTAAATGACTGAGAGCAAAAAACCGTTGGCAAGGAAAAAGGGTGTTAGTTGCAGCATTTAAGTGTCGGAACAATTTTTGGCAGTACCACGGTGATCCACAGCAGAGGACTATGTGCAGAGATGTGCTAAGCAAAATAAGTGTCCAATAATACTCAGAACAAAAGGACAGCAATGGGATGTGTGTCAATAAGGACCAGGTGACTTTCTAGAGAATTCAGGTGAAAGAGAAGACAGAGAACAAAACAAGCTTCATGGGTTAATTGAGATATGTAATTTCAAGAACTTAAATGGTCTGGGCACACAGTTCTCAGAAGTAAAAGTACTGAGGGGACAATGGAGTGTAAAAAACACCCTATTTTCTATTACATGAAAGGGGATATTTAAATATTAGATTAGTATACAAAGTTGTGCATGACAAATCTACACAGAGAGATCAATTTTTAGAATAAACTATTTGTAGCAAAAAATATAAAAAGTCAGTGGAATTAAAATCAAATCCAAGCATTTTTCAGAAAACTTCATATACTGTGGAAAAAAGCAATATATCTTATATAAAAAATATGGAAAACCATTTGAATGGTATTTCCGTAGTGACGTAACTTAATAACAAAAGTGTTTTCGACATATTAAAAATTCTCAGTTTCAAAAATGCATTAAGTTTAATTGAGGAAAGTATGTAAAAACAATGAGATACCACTACAATGAGATATGAGAATAGACAAATTCTAGAACACTGACAACAGGAAATACTGGCAACAACGCGGAGAAAGAACTGGCATTCACTGATGGTGGAAAGACAAAATGGTGCAGCAACATTGGAAGACACTTTGGAGTTTCTCACAAAGCTGAACATATTCTAACATGATGTAGCAATCACACTCCTTGGTATTTACCCAGAGTTGAAAACTTATTTCCAATAAAAACTTGCACATGAATGTTTATAGCAGCTTCATCCATAACTGCCATAACTTGGAAACAACCAAGATGTCCTTCAGAAGGTGAACAGAGACAGAAACTGAGGCACACCCAGATAATGGAAGTATTATCCAGCACTAAAAAGAAATGAGCTATCAAGCCAAGAAGTGATATGGATGAACCTGAAATGCATATACCTAAGTGAAAGAAGCAGCTCTGAAAGGGCTATATACTGTTTGATTCCAAGTATATGATATTCTGGAAAAGGCATATGAAGATAGTGAAGAGATCCGTGGTTGCAGGGGTTAAGAGGGAGGGAGAGATGAACAGGCAGAGAACAGAGGATTTTTAGGGCAAGAAATTAGTCTATAAGATACTATTATGGTAGATATGTGTCATTAAATGTTGGTCCAACCCACAGAATGTACAACACCAAGAGTGAACGCTAAGGTAAAGATGGACTTGGGATGATGATGAGGTGTCAGTGTAGGTTCATGAATGATAACAAATGTAGCACACTGGTGGGGGATGTTGATAATAGGGAAGGTCTGCATGTGTGGGGGTTGGAAATACCTGAGACATCTCCGTACCATTCACTCTATTTTGCTGTGAAACTAAAAGTGCTCAAAATAATTGTCCACCAAAAAAGGTGTCTCAACACTACTAAGTACTAAGTAATATGAAACAGAAGTAACAATAATAACTAAGACTATCTTTTCAAAAAATTCTGGAGGTTATACACGTCATGGACAAACTAATAGAGTCATGACCAATTGAGAAAGAAATCACATGAAGTATATAAAACAATATTCATTGCATGACCCCCCAACCCCAAATTGTAGGAAAAAAACAAAACAAAACATCATGAAAAATATTGAACTGATGAAATAAATAGAAAACAAGGTCAGTTATAACAACGAAGTTTGCAAGATGAAAGTATCAGTGACTTAAACAAAACAAAGTGCAGGAGACTTAAAAAATGCAGGCACCATTTCACTTCATAAACTCCTTCAATAAGATGTGTCAAAGCATATTCGGTGAAGGTGAATGAACAACAGCACACACAGGGGATACACAATGTGGCATGAACAGTAGTTTACTCAAGAGTCTCACAGAAATAAGGTTGTGAACTTGGACAGTGTTCTCCTCAGGTTAAGTTCCTACACCTTTTTTTTATTGCCGGCTCAGAAGAGATGATCACATTATGTCTGATCAGTACCGTGATACTGCCCTTAGGAGACAGCGTTCAACTCCTCAAAAACCGGGATAACTAGAAACACTTATCAGTCAGGCTCTCCTAATACTTTCCACCTCAGGGTCCTGGGACTTGCTGACCACTACACACTGGCTTCCAGAGGCACTTCTGTAGGTAGAAGGATGATGTTCTAACACTATTAATCAGTGTTCTTCTTCAAGAATTTTTTGTTACCCAGTAAACACCCTCCACAGGGAAGTCCACCAAAAGTCATTCATCACCTAAAGATGAGTTATCTCAACAGAAAAAGAGGATAAAACTTCAGACCCTTGGAATGTGTATTTCAAACGCAAGTTTCGGAGGCAAAATCCAGGAGAATAAGAGGTCACGAAGACCAAAGTCTTTCTATGTTCCCTGACAATCAGAGCAGGAAGAGAGAGAAAAATATAAGGGGGGTGAACTCCTGAAAGACTGAGATATACTCCCATGTAGCAATGGGGACCAAAGAGAGGATCTCAGTGTCTAGTCTTTACATTACTGCTCAGTGACAATGTCAAACATTCTCAAACTTTAAAATCTCTTTAACAATCTCAAATCCCATTTGTCTTTACACACATGTGGCAAAAAGAGACCTGAAGAGATGGCTGAGGGGCCTGAACAGGCAGATAGGGCTTGACACAGCCCAGGGAGTTTCACGGAACCCCAGAGACAACGGAAGAGCAGCTATTTTCTTGTCTATCTCCTGAGAAGTTCTTCCAAGGACATGAAATGTGAATGGAAAGTGAAGAGGTCCTGGGATCAGGACTACAGAGGCCTCAGCACTGGTCTCTATGGACTAGAGAGATCAAGGGGAAGGAAGACTCCATAGAGAAGGCCATCTTGTTTCCCTCAAACCAAGGGACCAAAGTGGTCCGAGGAACCAGATGACAGAGTAATTATGTCATGATAAAGCTTTTGCCTGCCTCTGCGTGAGCTGGAGCATCATGGTAGAGTGAGATTTTAAACGTTTACACATTTCAACAGCAGTGGTAAGCGTGTCTGTGGTTGGTAGGGGGAATGTCTTTTGAGAGCTCATAAGAAATAAACTTTTATTTTTATTTATTTATTTTTTTAACTCCCCCCCCCGCCCCACAAAAGCCCCAGTAGATAGTTGTATGTCATAGTTGCACATCCTTCTAGTTGCTGTATGTGGGACGCGGCCTCAGCATGGCTGGAGAAGCGGTGCGTCGGTGCGTGCCCGGGATCCAAACCCGGGCCGCCGGTAGCGGAGCGCACGCACTTACCCGATAAGCCACGGGGCCGGCCCAGAAATAAACTTTTATTTTCCCACAGATCTTTCCCCATTGAGGAGAGTTTCTCAAACAATATTTAACAGGGCAGCTTACTCTGAGCCCATGTATCTGAGCTCTTACTTGTGTTCACATCTCTATACATTCCAATCCGTCTGCATTCTTTCTTAACTTTTCCTTCACTCTGAACAGCCCAGGGCTAAACACGGCAAGGAACAGCTCCCTTGCTCAAAAATGGAGATAATATTCTACTCAAGAGAGATTTCATCTTACAAAAGAAAAACGGAACATGATACGCTATATTTTTCCAGAACACATTCTCTGCTCTTTGTTCATTTAAGAATTTCACCAACTAGGTGCCTCGAGAAACTCAATGGTGGGTATGGAAGCAATTAACTGTTTTTCAAAGTTGTTTCTTTTCCTTTTCTATGTCAAGTAGTTGTAACCACCAACCATCCTGAAACCGACCAAGCGAGAAACTCAAGGGAGATATAACCACCAGCCATCCTAAAACTGACCAAGCCTCACCAGGAGAGCTGTGCCCAAGACCTCTGCCTTATTTTTAATGCAAAGCTCTCTCCAGGAGGAGCTTAGGCCTCATTATGTGGAAGCATGTTCTCCCACTGAGCCTGTGCAAGCAAATACCTGCTTTTCCCTTTTGAATATTCATTCTCCAACTGAAATAAAACTCCCTGCTTCCCTTTGTTCAGGGATGCCATGACTTTGGAAATGATTCCTCATGGCCTCCTATTTGCTGCAAATACATTTTACTTTGTGAGACAACTTCCATTGGTTATTTAACTCACCAGAAGGCAAGTCCACTTGGGTTGGTAACAAGAAGAGAAAACATTATAGAAGTATTTCGAAAATCAGTCAACTGACTGCCGCCTGAATGCTAAGGAGTTATTTTAAGTATGCAGGCATCTGGGAGTGGCCTACTGGCATGGTGGTTAAGTCCGTCACGCTCCGCTTTGGCGGCACAGGTTCACAGGTTCAGATCCCAGGCGTGGACCTACACCACTCGTCAGCCATGCTGTGCCAGTGACCCACATGCAAAAAGTGGAAGATTGGCACAGATGTTAACTCAGGGCTAACCTTCCTCAAGCAAAAAGAAAAAAAAGAGAAAGACTCGCAACAAATCTTAGCTCAAGGCGTACCTTCTAGAGCAAAAAAAAAAAGGTGTGCAGGTAGTTTTAAAAATTTGCTGTAAGGTTCTCCCCACTGATCACACATGATACGTGCAGAATTTCTGAAGAAAGGGGAAGTTAGAGTCCATGTGCCATACTAGGAAGGCTTTCCTTTTTGAATCCAAACAGCTTCAATCACTCTCTCAACAACAGGGACTTGGAACTCAGACAAGCAAGTCAGGGGCTCCCAGGAGACTCACAAGGGAAAATGCAAAGATATACAACAGTAGTTACCAACTTCAGAGGGGAAGTTATCCTCACCCACGGAAAGCAGGTTCCTGTAGTTATCCAACATTACATCCCTGTACAAGGCCCTCTGAGCCGGGTCCAGGCATTCCCACTTCTCCTGAGAGAATTCTATGGCCACATCCCTGAAGGTCAACCGTCCCTGAAAGGAAAGCACATTTCACCATGTCAACAGGGACAGAGTTCTTATTTTGACACAAAATGGGACAAGCAGAGATGTGTAAGGATTGACTTGGCTGGGTGAGTGTTCTCAGTGATCCACGTAAGAAAATTTAGAGCAAGTTATAGTTCTCTAAGTTTCTTTTTACTGAGGTGAACTTCACATAACCCAAAGTTAGCCATTTCAAACTACAATTCAGTGGCATTTAGCACATTCACATCTTGTACAAACATCTTTCTCATCCCAGAGGCAATCCATTACCCATTAAGCAGTTGCTTCCCACTCCTCTTTCCCCGCAGGCCCTGCTAAACACTAATATGCTTTCTGTCTCCATAGATTTACCTATTTTAGATATTTTTATATCAGTGGAATGGTATGAAATGTGTGACCTTTTATGTCCGGCTTCTTTCACTGAGAATAATAGTTTTGGCTCATCCATGGTGTAGTGTGTGTCAGGACTACATTCCTTTTTAATGGCAGAATAATTTCATTGTATGACTATACCACGTTTTATGTATTCACTCATCATTTCATGGACACTTGAGTTGTCACCACATTTTGGCTAACGTTGATGGTGATACTATGAACATGTGTTTGAATCTCTGTTTTCAATTCTTTTGTCTATGTACCTAGAAGTGGAATTACCAGTTACATGGTTTAATGTAAGAACCTGCCACACTGTACTCCACAGTAGTGACACCATTTTCTAGCAACGTGTCAGGATTCTAATTTCTTCACATCTTTACCAACACTTGCCATTTTCTGTTTTAGTATATTCATCCAGGTGCGTGTGAAATGCTATGTCATTGTGGTTTTGATTTAGCATTTTCCTGATGTTACTGACCATCTCCTCATGTGCTTGTTGGCCATTGTGTATCTTTCATGGAGAAATGTCTATTAAAGTACTCTGACCATTTTTTAATGGAGTTCTTTGAATTGTGGTTGAGTTGTAGGAGTTCTTCATATATTCTGGATACTGGACTCTGATCAAATACGTGATTTGCAAACATTTTCTCTCATTTGGTAGATTGTGTTTCACTTACGTGATAGTGCCCTTCAAATGCACATAATTTTTAATTTTTATGGACACCAATTTATCTATTTTGTCTTTCTCCCTTTGCTTTTGGAGTCATATCTAAAAGTTCACTCCCAAATCCAAGATCATCAACATTTACCCCTATGTTCTCAACAGAGTATTATAGTTTTAGGTCTTAGACTTACTCTTTGGTTTATTTTGAATTAATTTTTTATATGGGAAAAGTAGAGGTTTAATTTCATTCTTTTTCATGTGGATGCGCAGTTGTCCCAGCACTTCTTAACAGACTATTCTTTTCTCAGTGAAAGTTTTTGGCACCCTTCTAAAAAAGGAACTGATCACAGATGTCTGGGTTTATTTGTGGACTCTCAGTTCTATTGCTCTGATTTAGATTTCTATCCTCAAGCTGGAAGCACAGTTTTGATTACTCTAGGTTTGTAGTCAAGTTTGACATCGGGAATTTTAGTCCTCCAACCTTGTTCTTCTTTTTCACCATTATTTTGGTTATTTGGGGTCCTTACGAATTCAATGTGAATTCTAAAATTGGGATTCCTATTTGTGCAAAAAAGGCTGTTCGGTTTTTCGTGGGGATTCCACTGAATCTGGACAGTACTTTGAAGAGTACTGTCAGCCAAATAACACCAAGTCAACATTTTAGGTAGGACCCTTCAGAGACAGAGAAGATTGGCAAGTACAACATATGGCAGTTTAGGAAGGAGAGAACAGAACAGTCAACTGAGAATGTGACTTTTACCTCGGAAAGAGCCATTCCAACTTTCTGTCCTCTTCCTCTAAGATTCTCAGGTTAGATTATCCTGTATGACAAAAATATGTTGTTCAATGATTAGAATCAACACACTCCCTTCCACTGCCACAAGTATACACATATGGAAAACCTCAGTACAGGGGACAGATGGCCCTCTGCTGCCCACTCTAACAGGAGGGATGCTGGGACAATAAACTCCATACAGAGACCAATAAGTGAATTTTTCACCCATTTCTCCAGAAAGCCCGACCATCCCACTGAAGCCCACACACTCTGCTGCAACTGCATTGTCCTTTGGTCCTTTGTTCACTTGGCATGAAGTGTAAGGAAACTGCCTCATCCAAAATCTTGGCTCCTCCCAAGGCAGCACACATCCAATGAGTGGTTGATGCAGGATATGGAAGTCTGTGCCTGCCTCAATTTGGACAAACTTTGAAGGGCTACCCAACTCCAGAGCTCCCTGCTGTAGCAACACTGATTAGCTTAGATTTTTGTCCTGAGGGTGATGGGAAACCATTAGAGGATTTATTGCCAGGAGACGACACAATCAAACTTAAGATTTACTCGTAAAACACGGGGTGGGGGAGTGAAGCTGAAGGAGAGGCATGTCTCTGTCTCTGAGCTTCTGTCCCTGCCTCTTTCTTAGCGGTTTTCATTATTTTTGGAGGACTGGGACACATTGCAAATAATAACTGGGCACCCTGTACTAGAAAACTGTCAAATGCAGACACATGCCAAATTTTGAAAATCATTTCAGGGATCCCATTAGCTCAGACTCAGAATTCCTGGTCTACTCTATCATCTTCATGTTACAGGTGGGTGCACTGAGGCTCAGAGGGGAGAAAGTTTACCAAGATACCCTGAAGAGGACTGAGTTCAATGAGCAGAACAGAGTGTAAGTGGTGGCCTGCAGAGGGCAGTAGAAAAGGTCTGTTCTAATTCCAGATTACATTTCACATTCCTGAGCAAGAGAAGATTCTCTTTCATGGCTTTAATCAAACGCAAGCATTTAGTTCCTCTTTTCCAGAAAAGTATTTAAAAAATGAATTTAAAATAGTTATTAGTCTAGGAAAACATGAAGGAGGGTCACTTGGAGATGGGCTCTGAGCAATGTGTTCATCATGGACACATGGGCGCTACTGGAACAAAGTTTCACATCCATCCAGCCCATCCTTCAACATTTGTACAGAAAGGACAAAGGGAACTTGAGGGGAACATCTATGTAGGTGCAGACTTCAGCTCAGAAGTCACTAATTTATCAGATCACTTCAGGGAAAACATAAACTGTTGACTTCTAAACTAACTGGCTAAACTAGGTTTTTCGTGTTAAAACATTACCAGCATCTTTACCAGACGCATAGTGAAATACTATAGTTATTTACAGACATCAAATAGTTCCAATATATAATAGAGTAGAAAGCATAAAAACCTCATTCTCTGAACAATAAAACTAAGAAAAATAATTGGAAATTAAAAAAATTCTTAACTTAAAACAAGTGTGAGGATAAATCAAATTCAGAAAAAAATGACATGAGCCATAGGTACAGAAAGTCCTCCCCCATTTCTTGAAAGGGAAGATGGTGACCTGGAATTGACTGAGCTAAGTCTCTGCCCTCAGGGTGGATAGGGGCTGCAAATGAAATTATCTTTTGGTGCAACAAATAGAAAATGCAGATGTCTCACAAACCTGGTTTTGTAACTCTCATTCCCTTTGCATAATTTTAGCAGTTCAACAAATCTTTAATTAGATTATAGAGCCTCTAGTCAGTACTTCCCAGCTTAATATCCCATATCCAATCAAAATACTCGCCCGGGTTAGGGTCCAAAACTTTCTCCACCGCTGTGTTTTGCTCTCTGTATTTGTCTTTCTGGTTTTCTCCTCTCTTTTTGTCCACTTCTGTGTTTCTCCCTTTCTCTTTACCCTTTTGTTTCCCTCCCTCTCTATTCCTCCTCCTCCAGTCTGTTGGGCCCGACTGTGTTGCAACCTCTTTTTCAATCCCTGCGTTCTTTCTCCCTAAACTTTCTGGTGGCCTCTAACCCCATATCTTTCTGCCTCTTTCTCCCCATCTCTGTTCTCCTCTGCTCTCCCTGGAGGGGGGTGAAGGGCATGTACCCACCTCCTGAGTGAGGACTTGACCACGCGGTTGGGGGGGAGGGGAGTGGAGTGGGGCATCAGAGAAAAGGTTTTGAGCAGGAAAACGACGCAGCATGCGGTCGGTGTCTACGCGGACCGAAGGCAGAAAGGCTGGGCGGGCACCTGCCTCAGAGCGATTTTAACGGGAAACGGACGCAGACTCCCGACCGGCACGGAGCCGCAGGACTCAGGACGTCTATGGCGACGCCGCGAGAGGCGAAAGCGACGAACTGACAGCAAGAGCGACCAGCGGGTTCAGAGATTTTAACTTAGGGGGCCACCCCGAAACCCGGGTGTCAGGAGCGGGGGGGCAAAAGAACCCAAAACCCAGGGAACAAACAAAAAAAAAAAACCAACCAACCCGAGCGCGCACGTCGCTCCGCGTGATCCGCCTCCGTCCCCAGGAAACCGCGCATGCGCGTGCGTATCGGGGCGGGGCCGACATGACGGGGCGGGAACGGAGGCGGGTGGGGCTCGGCGACGTAGGGGCGGGGCCTGGGCGCGGTGTCTGGCGCTCTCGTCCGCCCGCCAGGTTTCCTGTGTGTTCGTCCTTGCGCCCAGCAAGCAACCTCAAGCTCTCTGCTTTTGGGTCCGTTCGAATCTATGTGGTGTCGTTTGCAGCCGGGCTTCCTACAGAATTACAGGTGTGTCAGCAGCTTATCCTGGAAGCCGAGCTATTTCCTCTTAACAAATTGACAGCGAATCACGTGAAAGCTTTTTGACAAGAGGATGGAGACACCTCTCCTGTGAGGAGGCTGTGGCTGCGGAGGAGGTCCGGGACCGTCTGAGACCCCGGACAGTTACACCCTCTTGAAGCAAAAGGCGGAATCTTCCGTGTAGGTGAGAGAAACTAGAATGTGACATGAAATGCAGAACTGTGCTTGCGCGGAGTGTGCAATCTTATACTAACCCCAGCAGAGCCTAATTTCTCTTTCTGGTCGCCATTCACTGGGGAGGCAGAGACACAACCCTGGACTGGGTTCCAGGGACTTTATGGGGCCAGGCCCTGGGCTGTGGGGATGGAGGGATGAGACGTTGCTTTAAAAGAACAAAATTTTCTTCTTGCATGGATAGAAATTAATTTTTCTTTCTTTAAATTTAAATTGTTATACTAATCCACATCTCTTCAGATGAATTAATAATCCAAGTACATTTCAGAGATCCTGCGTAGCATCCTGTATTTTGCTGAAGTCATTAATTACTAAATATAATTGCAATTACAATTTTTATTCAGAGTTATTTGGAACATTATTTTAACTTGAAAACTAAAAGAACTAAATTAGATAAATCAGGTATTTTAACCGATCTTTTTTTTCTGTTTCTGAATGTTTTATTTCATGTGCAGATAATGAGGCTTGTAAAGGTTGCACTCTTTTGGAGATATTTGGTTTTGCTTTTAACTAATGAAATATCAATTTTGAAATATTTCTACAGACGTGATAAGGTTGTCTGTTCCCTTAATGAACCATAAATCCAAATAGTATTACTAGTTTTTCACATTTGCAATGGCATCATTTACACAGTTAATAATTTTTAATTTGAAATATGCAACTTAATAGCTCCTTTTCTGTTCCCTGTAGAAATTCTGAAGGTGGCGCTGGGAGTTTGGATCAACCACATCACAATTGTACATGTTCCAGAAATTTCTCAAAGGTTATTTTCAATAAACAGCACTCTTCTGTTTTCCCCAGAACGAATACAATTTTCTCAAATTTTTAAGGATTTTTTTCCCTCTATTATTTTACTGAGATTTTATTTTTTTCAATAATTAAATGCTTGGACTCAGATTGAAACTTGTGCAGATAAATTTCTCTTGGGGAAGAGAATAGAAGCAACCTTTCTGCTGTCCCTCTCTCTCCCCAGGCTCCCTGTGCTGAGCTCACTTCCCCTGAGCTCTGGTCCCTCCGTGCAAACCTACTTTGAAGTGGATCTCCGTGAAGGAGCCAGGCCTCCACACCATCTGGGGTCAAGAGGTGCTGATATCTGAACTCTCCATCTAGATTTTCTTCAGTCACCTTGCCTTAGATGGAGGCCCTTTATCCACAATTTTTATCTAATATTCTCCTCTGGTATTAATCCACAACATGTGCTTGGTAATTTTCCTAACCAGCTGAAGTGATTTCTCTTGATATTGATAGGAAACTTCTTGGTTGGAGCCTCCCATGCTCCCCAAGAGAAGCTGAGCACATAAGATTGGTGTCTGAGTAAATCAAGGCCTAGCTGCCACCTCATTGCCTCTCCCTTTCCTGGCGGGGAATTATATCTGATAAGAGATGAGAGGTGCAAAATGTGAGATCGCATTTTAGTCTAAATTCCTCTACTTATATTTTTATTAATATTGTGATAATTAATAAAGAGAAACTTTGTCTAAAATGGAGTCAGGGGGGCCGGCCCAGTGGCACAAGCGGTTAAGTGCGTGGGCTGGGGTTTGCCGGTTCGGATCCTGGGCGCGCGCCAACGCACCGCTTGTCAAGCCATGCTGTGGCGGCCTCCCATATAAAGTAGAGGAAGATGGGTGTGGATGTTAGCCCAGGGCCAGTCTTCCTCAGCAAAAAGAGGAGGATTGGCAGACGTTAGCTCAGGGTCGATCTTCCTCACAAAAAAAATAATAAAAATAAAAAAATAAAATGGAGTCAGGAGGCCAGAAGGGGAAGCTCTCATGCAGTGCCACCTAAAGTCAATAACAGGAAAGATAGTCAGCTACAGACCCCATCAGAAAGATATCAACAGGAAGATAGTCAATTACAAATTGCAACAGAAGTCATCAACAGGAAAGAATCATTAATTACAGGAAGAAATATACATTGCATACCAAACAGAAATCGACTACCCCAGCAATGTGGCCGATGAAAAACCATCACTGCCCTGC